GGGCAGAGAAAGTCTTTCTGTGGCCGAAACAAAAACACAAAACACAACACGAAAGAAAATAGAAACGAGCATTTGTTTAATAGCAGTTTTTAAAGCATACTTTTTCACATCTCTTTAAAACCACTGTGCCTTCGTTCACAGAATACCTTCGCGTGTCTCACTCTGGTGGGCCTGCTGGAGCGGGTGAGGGTCCGGGGCTCTGTCCACGCCACATGAGGGAGTTCAGGATTTATTGCGAAGGTAAAAGGGACAGCGAGGAGAGCATCAGGTGGGCAGACTCCACCCACTGTGAACTACAGCCATGGGGCTGCTGCTCCTCAGCCTCACTCACCAGCCATGCTACACCCTCAAAGGAGGATTTTCCCATTCCGATCGGCAAACCTTCCCCCTTTAACAGGATCCCAGCTTGATAATAAACACCATGACCTGGCACCTGCAGAGTGCTTTATACTTCTTCAACGGTGGAAAGGTTTGTTCCCTACAAACCTGGCTGCGTTTTCTTTCTCGATGCAACGAGTGGACCTAAAAGGTGGACAGAGGGGCACCACTACTCTTCCCTACTCGAGATGAGGAAACTGCCGCTGGCCCCGAGGCCAGAGCGAGCAGGGCTGGCCGTGAACGATTTGTGGTAACTCAGTCAACAGACACTCCACCGAGCACCTACTATGTGCCGGCTACTGTTGCCGGCAATGGGAAAGCGCCAGAGAACAAAAAGAGCAAGAAATTCCTGCCCACTGGGAGCTTACGTGTAAATGAGGGAGGACAGACTATAAACAACATAAACATTATAAATATAAACAAAATATATAAATAATCAATAGAAATAAATAGTATTATGTGTTAGAATGGAACGAGTGCTGTGGAGAAAAACAAAGCAGGGGGAGGCAATAGGGAAGTGCAGGTGGTGGGGGCGGGGCGGCGGGTGTCCCCAGTTGTGACTCGGATGGTCAGGGGAGCTGTCAATGAAAGGGAGCCAGCCAAGTCCCCTGAATCAAGTCTCCCTGGGGACAGGGAGAAGACAACAAACTCAAGAGATGTTACGGATGCAGGAACGGCCAGGTCTCTGAAGCACGTGGCGGGTAGAGAGAAGGGGAGGAGGCGGGGGTGGGAGAAAAGCTGAAGATGACCGCCAAGTTTCTGAGGAAGGAGGCCCAGGCCAAAACGCAGGCCGAGGGGAGGTCAGGGTGTCCACACTGGACACACCGAGGTCAAGGAGCCTGTGAGGCAGCCAAGTGGACACGTCTGTAAGGCAACTGGATACCTCGGTCCCAGAGAGACTGGACTACAGACACTGATCTGTGAGTTATCAGGACCCGGGTGAAAACTGAGATGTGTTTTCTTCTCTTAGGGGTGGAAAAGAGGGTGGAGGGCAGCACCCCGAGGAAGACCAGGAGGTTAAAAAGGGACCAAGCAGTAGACAGACCTCAAGTGGGGAGAGCGGGAGCTACGGGGTCTCAGGGTCACAAGGAGCACCTTACAGAGGGGCCCTGGGCAGGGACAGAGTCAAGAGCACCAGAGGGGTCAGGAGAACAATGACTGGGTTCAGCAAGAAGATGACGAGCCGTCTCCACGAGGTTTCTGTGGAGTGGTGGGCACAAAAGCCAGAGGCCTGAAGGGTGACGAGGTGAGAGAATAGAGACCACGAGTCAATGATCTTTTCATAACATGATCTTTTCATAACATCTATTATTTTAAGGAGGAAGAAAAAAAAAAGAGTAGCAACAGGAGTTTGTCTGTTTCCGGGAATAAAGAGGGTAGTACTTGGGGTACAAGGGATCGAGGTGAGATGTCTATGGTTGGTTCGCTATTTTAGATGGGACCTGCAAATGATTTTAAGAAGGAACCAATGGGGGGTGAGACCAAAGAAACAGGAATTGGGTTACTCAAAAGAGAGATGGCCAAAATAACTACCACCGTGGCAATTTATCAAGACTATATACACCAAACGCTGCAGCCAAAGCTCTGCATAGGCTGCCTCATTTAATTCTGCCAGCAACTCATAAGGTAGGTGTTGGTATTAACATCGCCACTTTGCACACAAAGAAACCGAGCTTAGAGAGGTCAAACAGTGTGTCCCAGGTGTGGAGCCAGGCTTCAACTCCAGGCGTGAGGGGTTCCCACACTTTGCCCTTCCCTGCCCCCGCTGAGTCACCCAAGGGGAAGGACCCTCCTACCTTATGGGTGAGTTGGAAGACAGTGAAAGGAAGATGAATTTGACTGGGGACCTGGTTCCCCTACGAACCAGGAAGGAAGATATCACGCAGAGGCTGAAAAAAAAGGAGGGGTGAGGGCTTGAGGAGCAAGAGCATGGTCTGAAACAGCTGTCAGGGAGGACAGAAGCAACCTGACCAAAACGCATGGAAGGACAGGATGAGGGCCCGAGAGGGATGGGCACACTGGCACCAAAGAGGCACCATGTGGCTTTCTCATGAAGGGCTCGCTGCCCGGCAGCCCAGCGGTCAGCCCAGGATCGGGGTTTGGCCAGGCTAGTGTTAGAAGAACCAAAGTCATAGAAACGAAGGGCCCAGGGGCTGCAGTGATGGGCCACAGAGTCCAGGCTAGACGAGGAAGACAGGGACGGGCTAAGAGGGAGGTAGATGAGGCAGAAGACGGTGCACACTGTGTCCGTGAGAAAGCTGTGGCCAGGCTATGAGACATCGAATTTAAGATTTCAGAGACAGGCAGGTTCTGGTTTGGGACAAAGCCCCATGAAGTAAAGGCCATTGATCTGTGAGGCATAAACAACAGAGGGATTTGAACGTTAGTTAGGTGGTGACTGAGAGGGGACATTCTTAGGGTGATGACGGGATTTGTGGAGAAGCAATCTGTGATCCAACACCTAAGTCTGAAGAGAATGAGAGAAAGTGACTCGGATCACACTGATGATGATGACAATGACACCTAGGGAGCATGCACCACATAGCAGGCACTATGCTTTAAGGACTCAACCTTCACAGCCACTGTGGGATATCAGCACCATCCTTTTCCCTTTTTACAGATGGGGTAACTGGGCACAGAGAGATGAAGAAACGTGCCCAAGATCACACCTAGTGGGAAATGGGATCCGGTCCAGGCAGTCTGGCTCAGGGTCCAAACTCTAACCATTCCACTATCCTGCTTCCCAGAATGACAAGTCAGGCCGGAGTCTTAGGGTGAGTAGATGACAGAGAGAGAAGACAGACTGATGCTGGTGGAAAGAGATGGCAGGAGCTTCAAAGAGAGGTTGATAAGAGGGCGGTGGAGTAACAGAGAAAAAAGGCAGCAGCCCCGTGCCCAGCCCAAAGGTGTCGCGGTTTCAGCTGATGGGAACCACCTTTCATTGAACTGGTATCAGAACCAGGAAGCAGGAGCACTCAGTGACGAGGTAAGAGAGCTAGTTACAAAGCCCTTCTGCGGGTACAGTGCCAAATAAGGGAAGACGGAAGCAATGGAAAGTTGGGTCAGGAAAGAGAAAGCAAGAAAAAAAAATTAGTATCTGCATTTTACAGATAAAGAAATTACGACTCAGAAAAGCTAAGTGTCCTGGAAGTCAAAGACCAGGATCAGCATCTCCCCAAGATAGTACTGAGGGTGAGAAATCCCAGGTCAGCAGGCGCTTGACGGAAGGATTACAGTTAAACAAAGGGAAGTGATTAGACACAACCCTCCTATGAAAAATGTCAGCTATGAACACTCAAGGTGGAGGCAGGGGGAGGAGGGGACGGGAGGGGAAGGCAGGCTCTGGGGGAAGCAGGGCTCACGTGCCTCCTAGAGTGATCTAGCAAACACCAGGAGGCGTAGAGATGTGTCTACGGCCAGCACCAATGGCCAGCACTGCTTGTTGAAGGTGAAAAATAGGCCCAAAGAAAATATTTTTGAAAGAAAAGGTTGGGTACTAGGGGGGACAAAAAAGACCCAGAAGGTTCTGGGGTTCAAGAGAGACTGCTTCATTCAATACAAGCAAGTCAGTGCATTCAGTGGGTCAGGGAAAGGCAACACTCCAGCGTTGGAAGGAAGTCAAGAACCCAAGCCTATAAAACAGGGGAAGTGGGACTAAAGTCCTCAGATCAGTCCTTGCTCCAAAGAGTAATGGAATAAAAGCCCTCATGAGTGAGATGGCCACAGGTAGCTAAAACGTGCCCAAACGGAAACCAGGAAAAGGGATAAGAAGCGCACTGGACCAAGCACCTCCAGCCCTCGCTTGTGACACCCATCTGATCCTCACGTGCACACCCCTGTGTGGTTTAAACGAAGCAGTCACTTAAATCTCTCCCTAATATTAAGCCCCAAGTGCCTCTCCCTACTGATGAGCTGAAGTCACCTGAGACCACCCTCACTACCCACTAATCATGCTAGGAGCTCCCCTCCAAACCCTCTCCCCTCAGCCTATACCTCTCCCATTTCTGGGCAGAGAGGGGTCAGGGCAGCAGAAGGTTGCCATGTAGGGCCAGGTGCTGACTCTGGGATGGGGTGGGACCTCCGCCCATAACCCTCCAGCAGCAGGTTGCAGGGTGCAGATGCCAGCTACCAGCATTCTGCCTGGGAGCTCATGCCACAGAAACTAAAAGAAAAGTTCAAGAATGCTCCTTTTCTGACTCCATGCCCCTCCCAAATCCACCTTCCAGGAAAGCACCTCCCATTGAAGGAAGACAGAAAAGGGAGGGGAGGGATCTGAGGAGACAAGACAGGGGAAGAGAGACAGAAAAATCACTGTAATTTTGTTGCAAGAACTAGAGCAATTGGGGATTTCATGCCTTTTTGAAGCTGAACAGCAACAACCACACTGTACTTTGTTTCAAAAGCAGTGAAGTGGGTGGGAGGGGACTCTGGCAGCTGCCTTCACTCCCTCCCTGCCAGCACCCTCCCCAGCCTGTGCTGCTGGGACCCAGAGGAGCAGACTGAGAAGGTGAGGAATAATGCGCTGTCCTGGCACCTGCCTGCCTCGGCGCTGCTCAGAGCTCAGCAGAGCCGGCACCTAACCCCGAGATCAACCCAAGGCTTCCAACTAGCTCAGCACCCACCAGCTCCTGGAGAAAATGCTGTCAGTCATCCGTCTGCACCCTGGCTGGGAAGGAGGACTCCTCCTAGCAGAGCTGGGGACAGCAGTTTCCCTGACGAGCAAAGCAAGAGAAGGGCTGTGAAAGGGTCAGCGGAAGTTCCCTCGCTTCAAATCTTTCCTGTTTCCTTTTGCCCCTGTTTTCATCACTGCCGGACTCAGCATGGTCTACAGTCTAGGAGTGTGCCTAATCTGGTTGGAATTTCCTCCTCCACCCACCTGGCATTCTCCCCACAGTCTTGAGCACTGCCGACCAGGGGTTCTCACATCCACCCCAAGTGCTGGTCTAGGTGACCACGCCACTTGCCACTTTGGAGCACCAGGAAGAAGGTCATGGAAAACTTGCTGCAAACTCCAGTTAGAGAGGAACAAGTAATGGCTGACCATTTGGCAAAAGCCCCCAGAGTCCCCATGCTCTCTGCCTCGGTCCCACTGCAGGGCCTTGGAACCAACAGGAAACCTGCAGCCGAGGGTCCCAGTAACCTGGCCCTTGACAGATTAAGTGAGCACTCACAGCCTACCACTGTGGGACTAGGTGAGGAAGACACGGGAAGGGGCAGAAAAGTTGCCAAAAGTCTTCCAAATATCTATTTAGTAATCACAGGCCGTTGACAGCTGGTGCTCAAGAGATCATATTAATGATCATCAGGGTCAGTGTTTTTCTTACTTTTTTGGCTGTAATCCCCATTCAGAAGTGCACTTTACAAGAGCCACTCAGGGACATGCACATACACACAAAACCCAAACAGAATTTCCTGGAGCAAGCCTGCTCCTACTGCATGCCACGCACATTCGTATTCTGCACTCTCACCAATTTGTCTTTTTTAAAATGTTGATCCCACTGATGGGTGACAACCTACAGTTTGAAAAACACAGGTCATGAAAGTGACATTGGCGGGGGGTGGGATGGGACTTCATGGGAAAGCGTATTTAATATTATAATTTTAAGCATTAGCGACGCTGGCTTTCTACAGTTATGACCACAAAACCAAGAAGCTTTAGCTCTGGTCCACACTTATCGAGGATAGAAAAACTGGAAAAACCAGGCCCACCCAACACTCTCCTTTAACTTCATAAATGTGTGCCTTATAAAACTTTTTCTTCCAAGATACAATTTACATTGATGTGGCTTCAGCTGACATAATTACCTGAAATTTCAACCAACATAAAACCGGGCAATGGGTGTTCTGTGTTCACAGAAAGGGGAACAGGTTAAAAATGGGAAGAAACATAGAACTGGTCCATGGCCCCCACTTTATTTACGAGTGTCAAAACAAAGGCACAGAACACTGCCTAAGCAAGTGAGGGCCAGGGCTTGAAACCCAACCCAGGGCTCCTGACTCACTCAGTCTCCATCAACCGAAATATCTAAGAACACAGTCAAGGTTTCTTCAAGTGAAGCAATGCCATGACTGAAGCATGGATGCATCTCTGATATCTCACACTGGGCCCAGGAGACCGTGCTGACCTTGGCAGACTTTGGCACTCCGCTGCGGTCTCACTGGGGTCCTGCAAAGGAGCTCACACACTTAACTCTCTCTGCACCTTTTCTCTCAGCTGAAAAAAATATACAAGAATAAGCCTTGCTACCCCTCCCAAAAATGTTTTAGCAAAAAAAAAAAAAAAGAGAGGTGCTTTAAAAAAAATCTTCAGGCTTAAAAATGGAAGAACCCTTGCAGGTCATTATTTGGGGTCAGAGTTAGAATCCCAGGACCCAGAAAACCTTACTCATTAGCTAATTCGAGACTTCATTTTACAGTCAAGCCCTATAAGGTGACAGCCAGGCCAGCTCCTTCAACCACACACACCATTGCTAACCTGCCATTGCCACGGAAAGTAATACTAAGTACACAGTAATGTCTGTATCGAAATGTAGCATCGTCTAAGGGGCAGGGAAGAAACTAAACACAGATCACACACTTTAAACACATGAGATGAACGCCTCTTCAGAGTGTTAAAGAAACTCAAAAGGCATAACTAATTTTTTTCTAATCCTAAAGATAAGCTAAAATGATGCTCTGAACCAAACTCATAGTAGAGGCCAAGGGCCTCAGAAGTGCTATAGTTAGTTCCTTGATGGAACATTCATCTCCACGACCCAGTGGGGCTGGTGGCTGCTCAAATAACATCTCCCTGCCCATAACTTTCCCCACACTCTGTCCAAGGCTCTTGAGACGACAGCTTCAAATATGAGGAATTTTATTACATGTGAGGGATTCTTTCCTAGACTAATGCCACCTGGTATCTGTCCAGGGTCTTTCCTGGAGGAGCTTTGAAACTCTAAGAGACAAGATCTCCTCCATCCCTTCCATAACCTTAGCAGGCAAGGATCATTCCTCTAATTCTCCATGGGGACTCGGGAAGGACAGAATGCGTGATGGCTCAGGCCCACTGGCAGACTCTGGGCCTCACCTTACTGAGAATACCCAAGCCTTCTTTCGCTGGACGCATGCCTCTCCGGGTCACTGACTGCCAACTCCAAGAGAGCTTGCCCAGGGCAGGGAAACCCTCTGAGTTAGACGTTCTGGCCTTCGCAGAGCTGGTGTGTGGCCAGTATCAGCAATAAGATAGAGCTGCCAGTTTGGGGGGGGCGGGGGTGTGGGGAAAGGGCAGGGAGCTCTCTGCCTTTCAAGAGAGGCTCCTAATTTTCCAAAGCACAGTGAGGCTGGAGTCAGAGGATACGGTGGAGTATGAGCCTGAGCAGGTTAAGCAGTTCCCCTTTCTGTGCCTCGACTTCTTCACCTGTTAATCCCCAGGGCTGCAGTATGAATTAGATGAGTTACGTCTACGCAAATGCAATGTGTCAATTCTACTATTACTTCCCTGCACTACAGAATCCCCTGGCCACTGGGGGTCCTGAACAGGCTGACAGGGGGCAGCTCTCTGTCGAACAAATTCTGCCTGGCTGAAGCTGCCTCCTCGCAGAAATGCATTTAAACTACCTGGGGAAGTGTCCGGTGAACTGAGTGCCTATTACACAACCCACGGCAAGGGCTGGATAGCACAACGCTCTCCTTGCCTGCCCACCTCCCTGCAACGAAAAAAGAGAGAGCAAACGTCACGGTAGGGTCTCACTGCCTCTCTGCTGCTCCGCTACCCGAACTCCAGGGAAATAAATGGGATTCTAAGAAAAGGGGGATCGCACAGGGCGCCGCTGAATCAGCACCCCCAAGAGAGCTGCCAAGAGAAGAAACCCTGCCACTCCCCAAAACACCCAGGGAGCAGAAGCCACACGCCTGGGTCGGCCCGGCCGGGGCCACGTTTCTCAGAGCGAGCGTGGTTAGCGCTCCCCTGCGGCGAGCTCGCTCGGAAACGGCGCACGTGTGGGCAGCCAGAGCCACCCGGTACCCGCGCGCGGACGCCTCTCGCCGCGCCGTGTACAGCGGGCGCGCCAGCCCGAGCTGCGA